TTAAAAGCAATTAGTTTAATTGCTTCAAATATCAAATAAAAATAACTTCTAGTTCTAAATCTATACTACTCTAGTATGTTTAGTCTTGTTTTTTTGCATATTTCAACCAATCTTAACTGCAGATCAATGTCTCAATAGTTTCTAGATTAAGGTTCAATTAATAATCATTTACAATTCTTTCTGCTGCACTGAACACCTAAATAAATACGTATAGCAACTTTAGTTAATTAATATTTGAATAATGCCAAAGGAAAATAAAACCTTAATTATATAAATTTATATAATCAAGGTTTCATTTTTCTTTGATATCACTTATGTAACTTACTGATTCAGAAGCTACAGAGGTTACTGGAACTGCAAGAATGTCTCTTGCTATAGATGCAACAGAAGGATACTTTTGCTTATTTTTTTTCTATCAAGTTAAAATGTCAAATAATTCTGTGTTAGAGCAAAGGTGAAGTGGATCAGTAAGATATTATTCAAACTCATCTATTTCATTAATTATATTAATTTGATTTGTTGCAAGATATCAGTTGAAGTCTTGCATTAATTCATCATCTTGCAAATTAAAATTAGAGTAACTATAATAATTATTAGAAGCATCTGTATTTTGAGTATATGTAGATCTATAAATTATTATAGCTCTATATAAAATAAATAGTTATTAAATTATAATAATTTTATATCCAAAAATATTATACTAAGTTAGCTACCTTTTTTTAATAAAGTCAAGTTTGTCCTCAGCCTCAGTAGTTGACAAGTGCATTTTATATTTAAAAATATAAGTTAATAATAATATTTTATAACAAGAATCCATTATTAACATAATACAGTACACATCACTAGTTTTTACCCGGTATTTATCAAACTTGAATTCTATTAGTAAGATCATTTGACAAATAAAAAGATCTATATTATCAGTATTTTGCTCAAAATGCAACTTAATTCTTATAAAATATAAAAGAAAAATATTTGCTATTGACCTGCGGGTCAATAGTGCAGTAGTTAGCACTTTCAGGTCACATTCACAAGGTTGCCAGTTCAATTCCAACTGGGGGAAAAAGCTGTGCTGAGACTACGATTGTTATGATCTTAAGGGAATTTCTCACTTCTACTTTTGAACAAGAATATTACAAGAATGAATGATCTATGGGAATTGCCTACCTCCAATTTTAGACAAAGTACTATAGCAAGAACAAGTTAAGTGACATAGTCACAGAGTTATATGACACTCAGATAAGGAAATAATCTGACAAGAAATGTCAATAACATAAAAATCCCAGATTAGAAAATTACTGTAAAAGGCAATAAAGATAAGGAGACAGAACCTGAAAGAACTATTGTTAATAGGGAACTGCAGACTTGAGTAAGGGGTCTTACGCTATGGGGCCAAGAACCCAGATTATTATAATAGTAATAAACTTGTTAATAATGTGATATGATGGGGCTAGAGAACACCATTGGTGATGTATGTAGCAACTAAATATGTAAACCTGTAGGTTCCAAACATTAAAGTTAATAAAGAAAATTAGAGTGCCACACGCGCCCCATGATGTAATACATCGGGGATAGTTAAAAAAAAAAATAATATAGTATATAATATAATAGTTATATATTATTTAGTTATTAGTAAGTTATATAATCTAGTTAATAATATGAAAGTAGACTGTCATTTAGCAGTAACAAGAATTATGTTGTTAATCTATAAGAAAAACTCTTTTGTCTTACTATTTAAAGATGCTATTAATATAATTTTATATCTTAAGCATATTACTGCAATAGGCCAAAACAATAAAATATTAATTATAAGTCTAATAAGAAAGATAGTTTTTCTATTGGCAATTACTTTAGTAGCAAAACTAAATAACTTAAAATAAATTTTATTAAAATCTATAATTATACTATAAGACAGTTACTCATTCAACATTGACAAATCAAAAAAACATAATATTTCAATTGCTTATAGAAGAAAAAAGCTAAGACAAAAGAAATTAATCATAGAATTTTATAGAAATAAATCTTTATTATATTTAGCTATAGCTTTTCTAACTTTAATAAAGTATACTAAGAACTGATGATAATAAACAAGATGCATTATTTTTAACTTTAACTTCTTTATATAAGTTTGCTTCAGTAAATACTATATTAAATTAGCTTAAAAACATATTTATTTTTGCAAATTTATTAATTAAAGCCAAGAACTTTAAGAGTAATATTAGTATATTTAGCAAAAAAATTAGAAACAAATACAAATTTCATTTTAGTTTTTAGCAACTGGTTATTTTGTAAAGTCTATTATAAACTTTATTAGAAAAGTATAAAAAAAGCTTTTGAGTATAATTATTTAATTAGCAAAATTCTAGATTAGACAAAGTTAAAGTAATATTTTACAGAATATATATAATATTGTTTATTGAAATATTCAAAGTTTATTTTAATTAATAATCAAATAATGGGTATAGTAACTTAGTAAAGTAGATAAGTTGTTAATCTTCTAAGTAATAGGTTGTAAGTTCAAAACTCACTGATGATAAAAACTTAAATAATTATCTATATAATACATACATATTATTATGATAATGACATTTTGTCAATTAGTTGAAATAAGATACCTGTAACTATGATTATATTAGCATAACTAGCAAGTTATAAGACATCTGTGCAATGTTAGAGTTATATAGAGAAATGCAAACCAGTATTAGACAGTACAAATCTAAGATAAATTCTTGTAACTGTATAAATCTATAAAACTAAAAAGCTAAAACCTATTTGAAAAGACCTAAGCAAAGAGATAGCACAAATCTTTAACAGTACTACTGTAAAGACTAGATCTAGAAAATAAATATCAATATAGAAGAAATCAGGTAGGCAAGAATCTTAAATAAAGAGTATCATTAACTAGGCTACTAGAAGTCTTAAACTAAAAGAAAAGAATCTTGAAAGATGAAATCTCAAGATATTAAAAACAGGTTATAGTTCTTTTAGGCTATCTGGATTGGAAGTCTGAGAACTAAAGCAAAGTATAACTTAAGTATTAGAGATATGCTATAAAGTTAGTACTAAGGTCTGAGTAAACTTCGCAAAAGCAAGCCCTGTTAACAAAAGATTAAATATAGGTAATTAGTTAGCAAAAAGGCTCTCTAAAGCTTTACAGAAAGATAATATTCTTTAAAATATGTAATAGCTTAACAGATATATAGACAAAAAGATTAGGGTTAGATTAAACAGCATTTCAGTATACAGAAACTTGTATACTATCTGTCAGGTTTAGTATAGATTACTTTATACAAGTTATGTAATTATAATTAAAATTACAATAAAGACTGCTGCTGCTAATAATTAATAACCTTAGTGAAAACAAAAAAAATAATGATTAAATAATAATATAAATTATTAGAAAATAAACAAGTATTATAAAGATAAATAATTTCTCTATGCACTTATTTAAATTTATTGCATATTTTTTTTATATTACTATTAACTATCTACTCTTGTTTATTAATAATCAAATCAAATAGTTTAAAAAAAAAATAATTAGTTTTAGCTATATATATTTTTTTTTTGATATTAAGGTAAGACCTTGCTTATATTTTTATTAATAGTTTTTAAAATTAGTAACTTTATAAAGTTACTATATACAAAAAAAATTCTATATAAATGCTATAGCCAAAACCAATACTTGCAATTAGAGCTAACTATTAAACTCTAACTATATATAACTAACTTAAATACAAATAAGAAGAAAACTATATTTATAAGTAAAGCTCAGACATAGTTATCTGTAACCTAAACCTACTAGAATAATCAAAACTTATTTAGATTTGGATAGTTAATATATATTTAAACAAGATATTATATTTGATTTAAAGAATAGTTTATTTATTAATTTTTCTAATAGCATAACTGATAGATAGACATATATTGGAGTTTAAATGTACTTGGTTAGGTAGTCTACATATATATAAATATGTATATGTTTGGCAGTTATATTTAGCTTGTTTATTATAATTAGTTTAAGTTAAGTGTTTAAAGAAAGAAGATTTAAGACCTTGTTGTTTTTTTTAATTTGAAAAGTTTATGCAATATGATTTTCAAAATAGTTTATGGCATAGTTTATTGATTTTAAGTAGTATTTTAATAGCAGTTTGTGATGCTAATTTGTAAGAAATATTAAGGTTTTAAATTGTTTAGATTAGAGATTTAAGTATAAGTCTTTTAAGTATAATATTAAAATAGAATAAATTTTTATTAAATAATATATAATGAAAGGTTTTATAGTTTTAAATTTTTTAGATAAGTTCTTTTTGCTAAAGTTTAGAGAGGTTCAGGTTCTTTTGACTAATGTGTTTAAAGATAGTATCTTGAATAATACTAGTAAGTAATGTAAAGTTAGAACATGTTTACCAATGTGTTAAGAAGTTGGATAAGTTGCAATAAAAGCAGTTTGTATTATAGAAAGTATGTAAGTATATTTTATGATGTAAAAAGTGTATATATAGTTCATTTAGTAGAATTTTAATTTTAAAAGATTTGAAATAATTAAGTTTGAAGTTAGTTATATTATATATTGATTTTTAGTTATAATTGAAGTATAACCAAGTGGATCTTTAATCTATTTTTAAAATAAGTTGGTTTCATTCTTGGTTATTAGAGGTGTGATCCATTGATCGACAATCTGAATAACTATTTAAAATCCATATTTTTGTATAATTTATATTATCTGTATAATTTTTGTATAAACTATCCAATCTGTATGCATGTTGCAGATCAACTGTTCAAACTATTCAAACTATATGAATTGCAGTTAACTGTTAAAACTGTTTGAGCTGTTGAAACTGTATGAATTATATGTGAATTGTTGATTAACTACTGAATCTGTTTGTAATACTCTAAATATTTTTTCTTATTGGCTTTACTTGATTTGGTAAACAATGATTTAAGAAATAAAATAGAATTGTACCAATGTTTCATTTTTACTAAAAAAATTGTCTATTTATAATATGGATGATGTTGATGTATCAACAAAAATACCTGATAAAACCTTTAATAAAAAGACAAAAGTTGGTAATACCCATGGTAGTAGTAATATCAAAAGTTGGATTTGGTTGTACTTTGATTCAGTGTATATCAATAATGTAAGACATGCTGTTTGTAAAGTTGAACTTGTAAAAAGAAAAAAATGCAGTATAAAATATAAAGTTAACACATCAACGAGTAACTGCTCTACTCACTTAGCAAACATTCATAGGATTACTGAAGATCAAGCTAAAGATAAAAATGTTACAGAGTTGGTTAATTTGCCTTATGATGAGTTATGTCAGCTTCAATTGTATCAATACCTTGTGAACTGAATAATAACTGATTCACAATCTTTTACTGTTCTTGAAAACCCAGCATTTAAAAAATTCATAAGCGAGTTAGATCCAAAGTTTAAAATTTTCATGTATCAAATTCATAAAGAAACTTGTACATATTTCTTATAACCATTCTTTAAAATTAACTATAAAAAAAATAAAAAATGACTTAACTTTTGTATCTTTAACTTGTAATATTTGGACCAAGAAAAATAAACAAGATTTTCTAGGCATAACATGTTCTTACCTTAATCATTAGTTTCAATTTCACGAAATTATGCTTTTCATCAAGCATATCCATTATTCTTATACTGCTGAAAACATCAGTAATGCTATTCTTTTGTTATTGGATGAGTAGGAATTGTGTGATAAGATTTTCACAATAACAACTAATAATGGTAAGAACATGCAGAAGTTCATCAAAGAGTTAAAGCATGTTGCAGAAAATATAACCTGGCAACCATGTGCAGCACATGCTCTCCAGTTGGTAGTAGATAAAGGACTGGAACTAGTTAAGGTTCTGGTTGGCTGTACCAAAAATCTAATCAATTTCTTTTTAAGACCAAAACAGTTTGAACATCTGAAAAATATACAAAATAGATATGCAAGATCAAATAAGGTTTACAAGTTTTTTTTCATATTTATTTTTATTATTTATTTAAATTGCTAACACTCATTTATATTACATTTTAAGGAACAATTTATCATACGTTTGTTTGATTTTTTATGGGTCTGGTATAAATTACTAACTGGCATATTTTAGGATGCTAATAAAACTTCAATGTATTTGAGACACGTGATTGCAGATATACAAACTTACTGGAACTTCAGCTATTTAGCATAATATCAACTCTTAGAGTTAGAAAAATATATTCGTGTTTTGAAAGTTAATTAGCCAAAGATACAAATCCTAATTCTAAAAAAGATTCTCAGCAGTTAACCAAAATAATATTAACAAATGATGAATAGAATTTGCTTAGTGAGTTGATTCCAGTTTTGGGTCCTTTCGAAGAAGCGACCAGATACCTTGGTAGTAACAAATATGTTACCTACAGCATAATGAGTCCTATAATGTTACACATCATTAATATGCTCAAATCTGCATCAGCATCATCAGAAGAAATAAATAGTGAAAGCATCAAGGATATTTTTGCAGAACTTGAAATTTGTGAAGATGAAGATGATATGCATAAAAAGATAGATCTATATAAGCCTATACAAACATCTGGAGTTTTGGAGAAGGTCAAGGGAACACTATACCAAGCGATGTATTATTATTAGAAAAAAGATAATAATGAATTATATATATCCTTCATCCTCAACCCTTGTGTTAAAAAGTTTGATTTTGTGTCTGACAAAATCAAACAGGTTTAAGAGTTATTAAGAATCAGATATCATGATGCAAAAGATAATCTACCAACAACAGTAAACTGAACATCTACTGCTAATGCTTTGTCATTTTATAACACTACTGTTTCTCTGTTTTATAAACTAATACTTTTAAATATATTTAACAATTCATTACCTCTTAATTTGCAGAGTGAGCTTGATGAATACCTTGCGGTCCCACAAATACTATTTGATTCTGACTCTTTCGTGTAGTGGAACATCAATAAGGAAAGGTTTTCTATTATTAGCAAATTAGTACATATATACTTTTCAGTTTCTGCCACGTTCACACCTTTTGAAAGGTTATTCTCTGACTGTAGTAACCTGTTGGGTCCTAAAAGAACACACATAAGCCCTGAGTTTTCAAATGATTAATGTTTCTGAAACGTAATTATGACATTTTAGATAATATTCACCCTTTAACATAGTATGAAAAATACAAATAATTAAAAAGAAAATTTTAAATGGTGCACCTATGCATTTAGTGCACTCTATTCTTATAGATAATAGCAAATAAGCATACTATTAGAGTAATAATAAAGACTAGATTAGTGTTAATGTTAGGTTAGCTGTTAGAGTTAGGTTAGGATTAGGTTAGAGTTAGGGTTAAAATTTTACAAAAAAGATTTTTTATTAGTTATACAACAGAGGTTAACTTAGTAAAATCTAACAAGCTTATTCTGCTTCAAAAACCAAATCTGAAATTCTGATCTTTAAAAAAAATTAGCTATTTTGTTAGTAACTATTTTTTTATTTTTTTTAGTACATGTTAAAATTCAAACAAAGTCTTTTTTTTTTTTACCTAGTTCAGAAAGTTGTGTCTAAGCTAACTTCTCTAAATAAGAAATTATAAAAGACTAATTTTAGAGTTAACTTTCTAGCACTCTAATTGTGACGATTTTTTGCTTATGTAACTTTACCTCTTTAAAATGTACTTTAAAGTGTATAAAATAAGTTACCTGAGCAGTTGATTTATATTAGCCAATCAGACAGAAGTCCTTTTATGAAATTGGTAGAGAGTTACTTGCTGAGTTTTAATTTGAATATTGGAATAAACATAATTACATCATAACACATGAAAAAAAATAACAAATTTTTTTTTCATAATTATATGAGTTTGCCAGATAATCATTCAATATTTGTAGTTTTAATGCGTAAAATATTCAATTTTTAATTAAAAGTATGAACAATGGCTATTTACAATACACCTCACTACCAGATTGAAATTTAGACACCTTTGCAGATTAGGTTGCTACCAATCATTCTGATGACAAAAAGAAAATAATAGACTACATGAAAAAAAGTCTTGAGATATACAGCAACAACATTCACATTAACCCAGACACAAGGCAAAAAGTAGATAAATTACTTTATAATATAAAGGTGAGAATTTGAACACGTACTTTTTTTGGCACACCCAAGGGACTATTAGTCATCTAGGTATTAAACTATTAATTTGCCAACCAAATCACATCTATGGCATATCCAAGGGAATATTAGTTATTCAGGTGTTGAACTATTAGTTTACTGCAGATTTTTACAATTATACTGGCCTTTATTTGTGTTTTGTCTTAAGAATGAGCTAAATACATTTTTTATTTAATGAATATATGGAAAAAAATTGGAAGAGTGACAAGGCTAAAATTGGTTATTTCCAGATATTAAAGGATAAGAGGAAAATAGCTGTGTTACAAGGCGAACAAAAAGTGCTACTAGCTGATATTGAATGTTCAGCAGTAATTTGATCTCTATACATCTATATATTAATTTTAAAATTATACTAATTAATGATCTTGCAGATCTGACAGATGCGAAATCATACAAATGCAGCAGTAGCAATTCAACAATGAATTGCTAAAAAATTTATAGGGGTTACTCAAAAAATTTCTACAAATAATGTAGTAGGAAAAGATCAAGTTAAAAAGGCCATCTTGGAATGGCTATGTACACTGGAAGATAAGGTCAATTAGGTCAACAAATCTTGGTTTTCATAACAGAAAACTTTTAAATAGACCATCCAGGTTATAAAAATCAATTAAATTAATTTTGCATAGCTTTATTATGGGTTTAATATGCACATGTATAGTCTGTTTTCTAATTTTTTGAATTACAAATTAGAACTGCACCTCTTAAATATAAGCATTCTATTTTATCAATTGATACACAAAATTTTTCCCAAGAATTGAAAGATGTAGTAGTTTTTTTTTGTTTTTTTTTGTTTTTTGTTATGTGAATGGTTCAATAGTTAAAATTTTTGAATTTCTGTTTTAGAAATCTAAATCTGAAGAATCTGAATTCGAAAATTTTAATATAATGTATAATGCCAAAGTTCAAGATAATGTTAATAAGAAGAAAGGAAAGGTGAGATATAGTATCTATCACTAATAAAAAAGATTGCTTAATATTTTAGTAAAATATAATAAGCATACTGTATTTATATATTTATCATATTTGTTAAAATATTATGATAAAAGTTATCTTGTTTTATCAATGCATCATAGTTATTTAGAAAAATAATTAGTTTTTTCATTAATTTATAAATTTGGGGCCATTCAAGATTAGTGATAAAAGCAGAATAGAGATTAAAAATGCTTATATGAAGATGAAGAAGGATGCAATGTGGAAATTGTTAAGTGGGAAATTTGTGAAAGAAGAGTTATATAATCTTGGAAAAAAACTAGAATTCGAACAGTAAGTTTGAATAATATAACAACATTGTATCTTATAAAAATATATATATATTTTAATTTATTGTAAATATTAGCTCTGTTCATTTCTTTATAATCAATACAGAGAATGAAATAATCAAACAACATTTCAGAGAATATGAGTTAAAAGAGATAGATAATAAGCATGTTCCAAAGCCTCCAGATCTTTCACAGGATGTAATTGATTATTTAAACAAGTTTATAAATGTAGTATGTTATATGTTAGTTATTTATAAGTAGCACCAATTTATACAGAATAATACTTACAGTATATTAACTTTTCTGGTAGACGAGTGTAAACAAAGTGTGCTCTATAATTGGTAAGCAAGATAATAGGCTTAATGCAAACTATGATTTATCAAAACATCATAACCTAGATTATATTCATTTTGTACTTTATACAATGTAAGTATCTATTTTTTAGACCAGGGTTTAGCAAATTGATTTACTTTATATTATTAATATATAGTAATTACTATGCACTAGCAGTATTAATATTAAAACTGTACTAGTATATTAATTAACAACTTTATTTTAGGCATTAGAAATTTGTATACTAATTTCTATTATATATATTCTTTAAATAGGACTAGAAAAATTGAAAATAGTAGATTAAAACAACCAAATTTAGAATCATGATACAATTGTCATATTTGGAGTGCGATCATTGATCATGGCTTTAGAGACATCAAGGGATTATCAGTTGTTCAGTAACAGATTGATCTTGATTTACTTTTATTAAAAAAAATTACTATATTATAGTATTTCTGTATAATTTTTTTTTGGTCTGCATTGTATAGAGAAGAAAGTGCATATGTTGCAACAGCTACCAGAAAAATTCAAAAAGAATAACAACACAGAGGCACCAAATAAGACATAGAGAAGATTGGATACTAAGAATGAGCAGTAATAGTGACTACGATAAATATAGCATGAGTGAAGTTGGAAAAAAATAGGAAGATGAATTTGAGACGAAGTTTTTAAGAAAAAAGTCTCTAAAACAGCCTAAAGCCCTAAAGGATATGTTGGTTAAACTCATCTGAAAAGTTAATTAGGATAAGGAATTACGTTCTAAGCTTCAAACTATAAGAATAATGCATTCAGGTATATAGCTTTTCTGTTTGTTTCTTTAGATTAACAAATTGTATATTTATTATTCCAAATCTTAATAGAATTAATGATGATGGTTGTGTATATGAACAATCTACATGGATATGTGTGTAGAATCTGGCATAAGGATATAATAGAGGTTCTGGATAATGAGGAAAATTTTTCAGCATTATTGGTTATTTTTGTTGCAATATTGAATGCTAAGGTTTCTATATTAATTTTCTATTTTTATTTAATAACTATATAATAATTGATTTTTTAATATTATTAGATAATTGTGTGAGAAACAATGAAAATTGTACAACAAAAAAAGAAAAGTAAAGATATTTTCAAGCAAGCAGGCTAGGTAAAGTGATTATGAAGTTCTGAAGAAATTCCTGCATGTTTAACTATGCCAAAAAAAATAAAAGCATGCACTAGAGATGTTAAACTTGTTAAATTAAGCAGTTTGTGTTCTGAACTAATTTGACTATATAAACTAGTTAGACGATAATTATAAACAAATTTTGAAACTAGTTTGAAGAATCTGATAACAAAACTATAAATTACCAATAAAAATTAATCTGCATTCTGGATATATATTCAAGTTCTAAATCTTTGCATACTGATTCTCTTGCAACAAGTTCTAATGAAATAGGAGTATGCTAGCATATATAGACCCACAATACATTCTTTTGGATCCAGCTATATGTTCTCCTTTGAATTTAGTATTAGATGTCATGGCTGATACTGAAATTGGCTGATGCTGAAATTTGAATCTATTTTATTATAAAATTTTAAAATTTTTTTAGGATGTTTTTTGTACGATTTTTTTTTATAGTTAAGTTAGGATTTAGGGCTATATTTGATATTGAAAGAGTATATATGGATTTTAGCAGAGCTTATAGTTTCAAATCAAGACCCTAAATTTCAGCATTAGCTGTAACATTAGATAAACTTAAAAAGCTATCAGACTTAACTGTCAAGATCATTTCAAATAACATATATAAAGATAAATTTAACAATGTAATTTACAGTGAATTAGAAAGCTCTGATTCTGAAATCTCACTAGTTTATACTTGCCAGCAAAACCCAGATAAATCCCAAGCCTAAAAAAACAAATAATCTTAATATTTTGCAAATATAGTATACATTGCTATAAGAATATATGGTATCTTATAGCAAAAGAAGAAGATGGACCAAAAAATTAAAATTTTAATTTTATGATAATTTTGTTCTAATTAATTCAATTCAAGAAATTGATTTTTTTAAAAAAATTTTTTTGCCAATCCCCTTCTTTTGCTATGAAGGTCCCATATATCATTTGTTTGAATAAAAGTTATTAATAAAGTTTTTTAAGATATAGTAGTAGTGGAAAATTATATCATTTTTTTACCAAATATAGAAATTTTTAAAAAATTGATTAAAAAAATATAAAAATTTAAATATAAAATATAATTAATATTTAAATTTTTAAAAATTAAAAAAGATTAAAATTAAACTTGAGATTTAATAAAATTAGCCTAAATTTTAGGTTAAATTTTGGAATTTTATTTATAAAAAATTAAAAATTTATTTAATTTAAAAATTTTTATATATATTTTTAAATAGTTGTAAATATTTCATAAAATAACAGTAAAAATTTTTTATAAAAAAAATTTATTAATTTTTAGTACATATAATAAAATTTAACTTAAATTTACTAAAATTTAAATTTAAATTCAATTTTTTGGTATTTTTTTTTATTTTTTATTATTAAATTAATATCTTTGTAGCTATAGGCTACATGTATAATTAGGTGTAACATAACTATTAAGACAATTAAAATAACTCTTTTTCTAGTTAGGATTAGAGTGAGGTAAAGGTAGTATGCAGGCAAAAAAAGGTGGTTTACAATAAAATTTGGCAAGAAATTTTTTTTTTTAGAAGCTAAAGAGTAGTTTCAATACTCAATTTTGAGTTATACCTGATTTTTAACAAAATGAAAGTTTGTTTTGGAATTTTCTGGTTGTGTTACATTATACCTGATCTTGAAATTTGATTGGCTTTTATAGATGTGACTAAACTATATATAAATTTTTCCTTTATTCATCACTACTATATTAGTTTGGTCAGAGTTTGGAATTAAGATCATTCTAATACAAATAAAATCATATAATCCAAGATTTTATTAAAAAAATACTATTATACAGATTAGTGAAGTAACTTGTTATTCACTGAATATAAATTTATTAATAAAATTCAGTGAATGTTCAATAGATTTATTAATAAATTTATATTTAGTAAATAACTCTAGTGGGAATAGAATTTGGAATTTTCTGAGTTAGAAAAATTTAAATACAATACATATGTACGTAAGCTATAAATCCAAAACATAAACTCTGCAAGCTTTATGAATTTCTCAAATATTAATTAACTTATAAATTGCTTTTAGATTCTTTTTTGGTATGAGTAAAAAAAATATTCAAAATTTAATATTATGGGCAACAATTTGCATATGGGCTGATTTGTTTTCACAAGCATTGATCATCTGACTGATCCTAAATCCTATTAGTTAATTTATCATTTTATACAAATTACGTTATTGATGCAGATTAGAGGTTGGAACCAGTTTTAAATATTCAAGTTTATCACATCAAAATTCGAGTTTATTACACCAAAATTCGAGTTTATCATGTTGATCATTAATGATTGAAGTAATAAACTTGAATTTTGATGTGATAAACTTGAATTTTGATGTAATAAACTCGAATATTTAAAACTGGTTCCAACCTCTCATGCAGATCATTATCTAAGTAAGATCTGCATCAATAATATAACACTTTACAATAATTATTTGACTGATCTAAAATCCTATTGGTCAATTTAATAGAAAACAAATCCACCCATATAGGCTAACTTTCTTGTGATTGGTTAATTTTATTCAATTGAATTTATATAGTTTAAAGGTTGGAATCAGTTTTAAATATTTGAGTTTATCATATAAAAATTCAAGTTTATCATATCAAAATTTGAGTTTATCACATAAATCATTAATGATTTATGTGATAAACTCAAATTTTGGTATAATAAACTTGAATTTTTATGTGATAAACTCAAATGTTTAAAACTGGTTTCAACTTCTAATACAGTTTATAGTACTTTTACAACCCCTGATAGTAAATTTTTTTGTTTTAATAATTAAGAATCAGTTAAACTATTTTCAAAGACTTTTCGCAAAGAAAGCTTTAAGTATCTTGTATATCTCTAGAATCTATCACATCTAAGTATATCTTATTAAGAAATGGATTTCAATCTTGAGAAATAACAATGTGCAGTAATCGTGTATGCTAAAGCTTCTAATTAGTCTTTAAAAAAGGTTACTAACTTTGTTCTAGAATGGGCTTAGCAAAATAAAACTTTATCAGCTTACTTAAAAGTCAATGATATGATATGCTAGCAGTATTACAATGGAATAGTTATTCAACCTTCGGCTGTGATAAAAGAACATGCTCAATCTGCAGATATTGAAGTTTATCCTGATACAGTGGACAATACTCAGGAGGATATCTTGAAGGTAATGTCTTTTTTAAATGTAATAAAATTTATGACTGAGGTTTTATATCGGCATAAAATTACTTAAAAATTGTTAGCATTTCGGACATTTGAAGAATTTCATATCTGCATGGAAGCTAAAGATAGGCATTTGAAAGCTTTTTTTGATGAACTTGTATTATCAGCAAATTTGTCACAAAAAAAGCATGAATCGTATCCTAAAATTATGTCTCAGTTGCTACTCATTTGTTATATTCTTTGTGATATATGTAACAAATTTATTATTAATGTAAAGCATAATCTAGCTCTTTATCTTGATTCTACAGACACAGATAATTCAACTATTAATGCTTTAGCAGAACTTGGTATTATATCAATGTCCCAAACAGTTTGGCATAAAAAAAAAGAAATTTCAGAAAGCCATATGGATACAATAAACAACCATTTAGAAAAATATCATGAGACTTCTATGGTCTTAAACATAGATGATTATTATAATATATATACAAATCATGTTCCAAAGAGTAGTAAAATGTTAACCTTAACTCATATGGCAACAATTCTTCTGAATCTAATAAATGCAACATTACCAATTCCTATTAATTTTAACAATATAAGCATTCATAATCCAAAACTTGTCAATGCTGACTCTCTAAAAGTTGATTTAGAGAATAGATTTATAGAATTGTTAGAAATGCCTTTTAATGAATGATGGAAAAGTCAAGTAAGTAAAAATGATAAAGAAACTATGGAAACATTAATGATTCATAGTTATGATCTTTGGCTTAAAGAAAGAATGAATGATAGAAAAGTCAGATAAGTGAAAATGATGAAGAAACTATGGAAACATTAACGATTCATAGTTATGATCTTCAGCTTAAAGAAAGAATGAATAATGGAAAAGTCAGGTAAGTGAAAATGATGAAGAAACTATGAAAACATTAATGATTCATAGTTATGATCTTTGGCTTAAAGAAAGAATGAATAATCAATCATTAAATAATATTGTTCTTGTCGATCTTATAAAAAATAATCTATATTTTATTAACGATTATTTGGAAAGTTTGTCTATTATTAAGAAAGTGAATATTATATGAGAATATTTCAATTCAGGTTATATAATACCCCTTGTGGCTGATTGGCCTGGTCAAATATTTTTAAGAAGTGCGATATCATGGTTTCTAACATATGATGATAAGTCTAATATTTCTCAATATGTGTTATCATTTATTCCTATCATCAGACCATTGCATATATCTTTAAACAGCTGCAAACTTGTTTATATACAGTATCAACCATTTTTCTCTTTATTATATAATAATTTATTTGAGAAAACAAAGGATCTTGGAACTAATATTCAATCCTAAAAGATTAATTTGCTTCTTAAGGTGACTCATCATGGCTGACTTCAAATTTTAGATATCATTAGAAAAAAATTCGACCTATGTAAAGATTTTGAATACCTTATATTTAAGGATTTGTTGAATAATTTAATTCCACTTGTCCTTGATATGCAATTTTTTTTCATGCTGGTGAATAGAAAGAATATAAAGAGTCAATAATACAGATTTGGACACTTTTTTTACAGTTTTGTCGTCATAATTATAACAAGGCGCCACTAATATTTTTATCTGATGTTTTATATTGAAGAAATATTAACTATTCTATTTTAGAAATTTTAAAAATACATTTGCCAAAATTTTTGGATGCTCTTGTTGAATTATTTCACAGTCTTTTGTGACAAACTACTCAAAAGCATGATGGTATAGATCACTTACAACATCAAGCACATTTTATTAATTTTTTAAAATGTGAAAAACATCTTAAAGAGTTATTTGAGTATCAATCTATGTGGAAAAAATATTCTTTGAGTTACAGAGATTTAAATAGCTGTATACAAAAAGCAGCATGTTTTTTATTAGAGTGGTTTATTAACATTTATAATCGAATTGCTACAAACAGCATAATAGATTTAAATTCAGACAGACCAGAAATATTAACCCAAGAAAAAATAAAAAAAAATCATCAACAGTCCCAATATACCTATGCCAGCTATTGGAATTATTGTGAATACTTGTCACCTTTCTTTGGGTTTTAGTACTTTGCAAAAACCTAACCAATTTATCTTGTGTGATTATTCATTATGTACTAAAGCAAATATTTATGTATTTACTAATCTCTTATTTCCTAATTTAAAAATATTAGCTTGTGGTCACAAATATCATGTAGAATGTTTGAACGAAGTTGACCAGAAATGTTTACCCTGTTTGCAATTTTTACAGAATGAAATAAAGATGAATATAGATTAATTACTGGAACATCTGTTGAATTTGAATGATAAAAAAAAGAAGAAAAAAAAGAAAACAGAAAATATTTGGGTTCAAGGTAGAATAAAAGAATTTGAAACAGAAGAACTCGAAAATGAAATAGTCAAAGATGATGAACTTATCTTCTCTCATAGTATTGGAAAAACAGAACTTGATGATTTATTGCAAAAGCTTAAAGGGTTACAATAAATATTTTTTTTTGTTTTTTTAAAAATTTTAAATAAAAAATTTATTAATTAAATTAAAATAAAAAATTTTAAATAAAAAATAAATAATAAAAAAATTAAATTATTAAAATAAAATTTAAATAAAATTTTTAAATAAAAAATTTAAATTATTCGAATTATCATTTTATTCAAATTATCATTTTATTTTATCGTAATCGTTAAATTATTTGAATTTATAATTTATATTATCTGACCAATCATAGTGAATTATTTTAATTTTACTGATCAACCAATTACGAGAAAGTTATCCTATATAATCTGCCCATATGGATCATTCTAACATAGTGAACTTTCATTATGATTGGTTAGATTTTGGTAATCATCTTGTAATTTTATTGGCTGATTGACCAATCAAATTGTGAGATGATAGTAGAATAACAATGGTATGTAGTATTAATATTGGTCTTTAAAGTTTTAATTAAATATTAAAACACATCATTATATATATAAGGAATACTCTTAATACCTTTGTTTTCTTCTACATCATAAAGAAATAACAATTTTATTATTGCAAGATCAATAAATTTTATCTATTTTATCAATAAACATATCCTTTTTACCTTTCTGTACATTTTTATTTAATGTTATGGATAATGCTGAAATTTGAGAGTTTCAATTTAAAAATATAAACCCTACAATATCAACTTATACTCTTTTGCTAATGTTGCTAACTTAAATCCCAATTTACTCTCAAAAAAAAAAGCTAACTCAAAAAATTTAAAGATCATACATAATATATACAAATTTCAGCATCATCCAATTTAAACATTATCTGTGACATTAAATTTCAATGACTACTAATTATCAAAGCTATCTATCATGGCAATGTTATTAAAACTTTGTACAATTATTCAATATTGAATCTAAGATCATTAGTACATTAGCAAAGATCAAAAAAATAAAAATAAAAGTCAGTTTAAAAGTAAAATAATAAAACCATAGAAAAGAATAAACATACTATTTACTTATTGTTTATAAGCTACAAATGTCTTGGTGAAACTAAAAAAAAAAATTTAAATCACATAGTTTAAATAGATTACAAATTAAATAAAATACTCAAAAAGTAGCTTTTATCTAACTTTCAGATTACCTTGCCAATTACTAAATTACTTTGACATCTTATAGAGAATAAGATATAGTTTCTAAATTTTTATACCACAACCTTGGTGAATTCATATTTGTAACTGTAAATCCATTCTTGTTATGAAATAATCTACAAAAATTAGCTAATCACAATATATAAATTCGTGATATATGTTTTAAATAATTCATTCTGATTTTTTGCTTCTTGTCTCAAACTAAAAAGTTAGCAAAAATTTTTTTTTTGATTTTAACCACTAAGTGCTCACTGCAACTGCATCATCTACAATGCAAACTTTGTGTACAGTTTGTTGATCAACTACACAGTTTCACATGATAACTATTCAAATATGCAAATTGCAGATTAATCTGTATGGATACAGATTTGATTTTGTGTAATCTGTATTATATAGATTTGAACAGTTCACATTACTATTAGTTATGTTTTTAAAATGACTATATTGCCAGAATGTAGGCTTTGCAAATATTTTTGATAAATGTTCTTGTAAAGTATTCTATAAAATATTAGTTTCAGAACAGCATATAATATAGGTTATAAATATTGGTATAGTTGAAATATAAATCTAGAGAAAAATTATATTGTTTAGCAAAAAAGTTGACAAGATTGTTTAGATCATTGTCAGTATAAGCTTGCACTTTATAGAAGTTAATTTGAAGGTTATAAGATTTAATGATATTCAATAAGGTATCCTATATAGGTCATGTATTGAATTTAAAAAGTTTATTAAGATTGAAGAGTGTAGTATAAATGTTAGTGTATTTAGTAATAATAGATTAGAAGTCTATAAAGATGTTGACTATTGCATTTCAGAGTATGATAGAAATAGCTAAGAGAATAGCCATTAGTTTTATTTTATAGAATAATAGCCAGAAGTTAATTTTAGCAAACAATTTGTAAATAATTTAATTATTGTTATTGATCTAAACCTAGCCAATGTCTATTATACATTGGTCATTCTAATATTAATTACTGAGCCATCAGTATAAAAGTTAAATTGTTGTTGAGAGCTATTGAGAATTAAATATTTTTCAAGTATGTTTGTTGCTTTACTAGTTTTAAATATTTCAAAAACATAAAAGTTAGGAATTAGAATTGTTGATACTAGAGAAATTAATAGTAGATGTTTAATAGCTATTAAATAAATAAGGTCTATATAGTTGGCATTGAAGTTTAATAAGTTAGAATTAACTTTTCATAGAAATTAAAAAAAATAATTGCAAATATATTAATTGTACATAAATTTTGAATTCTGTTAGAGTTTAAATAATAGTCTAAGCAAGGTGAGCATTGGATTAGTAAAAAAGAATAGTAGCCAGAATAATTTATATCAATATTTGTTTGCCAGTATATAATAGATATTTGATTAGTGTTTTTGAAATGTCTGTGAATTTTACTAATAATATTTTTATTGTTAGTATATGTAAGTAACCAGTATTTAAATTTTTTAGAAATATGTTGTAAGCTGTATGCAAATAGGTTATATTCTAATTGTTAATAGTATGAAAGAAGAACTCTGTAACTATTATAAGCTATTATAGTGTTTTCTAAATAAATAAACTATAATGGTTTTTAGCCTTTAGATAAATATGATAGTTATAGTGAGAGATGTTTTTATTTAAGTAAAATAATGTTGTTAGCTGTACAAAGCTGTTTAAGATATAGAATGTTAAGATTTCTGATTTGTTTTTTGAAGCTAATATATTGTAGATATTAGAATAAAATTGATTCTAGTGATTGAAAGTTGTATAATATAATGTTTAGCCATGAAATGTTGAAATTAGCTGTTATAGATATGTTTAAGTATGTTAGTAATTAAATAATTTTGAAATTTAAGATAAGTTTATTTGGATTATTAATGATAAGATTGAAGTATTAAATATATTAGTAGTTGACTATAGGTTGTTTTGAAGCTATTGTAGCCTAATCCATATTGAGATTCCTAGTAAATTAGAATTGTTAATTCATAATAAGAAGTTAGTAATATAATATTAAAATTAAATATTCTATATATTGTAAATATTATATAAATATAAGTTGAGCATAATACTATTGAAGATTGAACATGCTAAGTAGGATTTGTGTTTGGCTATTGTTAAGTATTTAGCTTGCATGTGAAGTAAAATATGATAATATTGTATAATCTATATTCAAGTATAGGTATAATAACTGTATTAATTATATAAATAATTTGTTTATCTGTAATTTTCTTTATACTAGCAATGTTTGTAAATTGAAGTGTTTTTTTTTAAATAATTTTAATTTGTTAAGTTTGTTTGTTATTAAGTATAAACCAATAATCTAAAAACTTAAATAGTTAGCTAGCAGATATAGATTCTAAGATAGAGTTTAAAAATTAAATATTAAATATAGATGAATTAGAAATAAAGACAGATTTAGTAGTATTGATCTAAATGTTGATCATTAGGTAAAAAGATAAAGCAGTTTAAATAATCAGTTCTAGTTCTTGTTTTGTTTTTACTATCCAGAATATATCATTTATATAAGCTAATACTAATGTAGATGCATAGAGACTTTAAGATCTGGATAGTTGAAGATGGGTTTTTCAAGTTGTAAATAATAAGTAACCTTTATATTGAGATGTAATTCTGTAAATAAGTAGGTCATAATAAATATACCAAAATATAAAAGTTATTGTTTCTATCTAATCTATTCTATTTTTAACTATATATAGGTTGGTTAGAACAAAGTTGATAATTATTTTATTTTGGCAGTCTGTTAATAAATTAGTAAGTATGTTAACTAGTTTAGATAGCATATTAATATAATTAAGTACTTTTTCAAACAGGTTTAGATTAACTGAGTTATATGCTTTGCTTATATCTTAAGATATAAGCCAAAACTGTTTGGAGTTGCAAGATGCATCTTCGATTATATTATTTAAGATATGTATCAATATAGCAGTGCTATTGCCTAGCAAAGTAATATAATTAAGATAATAGGATTTTATGTTTAGTAAATACTTGGTTTAAATGATTTGTAAGAAGTTTAGTATATAGTTTTTTGGTATATTTAAAGTTTTAGCTATATATGTAAATTTTTTTTAATATATATAATTTGTATTATATAAATTGGCTAGCCAATAATAAAACAGACCAAATATATATAATATTGTTTATCTTTGCAATGCTTATTTATTTTTTAATAATCTTTGTTATTACTTAACTTTTAGTTAAAATTTTAATAATTTATGAATATTACATTTAACTTTTGTTTTTGTTAGTAATAAACTTAAATTACAGACCTTAGTATAGAAAATATTAAAGAATTTGTGACAAATTCTAAAATCATTTTTAATTTTATTAACAAAAGACAATGTTTTTTTTACTAAAACTAAAACTAAAAATTGTCTAATATAGATTATAGTATATATTTCTTGAATAAGATTTATTATATAAAAGTCTAATATATAATTTATCAAAAGTAATATTTAAAAAAGTTATTTATAAAAATTATAAAAAAAAAAACAACTATTATTTTTTTACTAATATATTAAAAATTTAGTAATTTTATATTAGCACCCAAGTTTATAGTTAATTAAGACAGCTTTTTTATAAAAAACTAATACAAATTAAATTATTATAATTCTTATAAACATTATTTTTCTAAAGATAAACTAATTTTGTCTACAAATATAATACTACTTGTTAGTATTTTATAGACAATAAATACTACAAAGTTTAGTTGTTTGCTTCTCTTTGTAATTTTATTACTTTGTTTTAATTAAAATTTATATTAGACTATTTAACAATATGTTTATTTGAATTATAAAATATTTCTCTTATGATATATTTTAGATAATTTGTAATTAATATTATTTTGCTTAGCTTATTTTATTCAAT